AGAGGGACCCTCTGAGGAAGCCCCTGTGTCTTTCGGGGAAGAAACGCGTTAGGGATCTACGAGAGGGATATACGAGCTACGGAAAAGCTGACAGATCCCCGACCCGCTACGTGAGTGATATGCCCATCAACTACTCTGCTGACAGCGCCGGCTGCTTGCTTTATTAGAACATCCTCCCTTCCTGTCTCAGTGACACTGTAAATTAACTAAAATCGGTCTCAGTAGGGTAATAACATCAAAAACATATCCTTTTTTTTTTTTTTAGAACCTTTTTTTTTATTATTTTTGCGGTCTCCATATTTGGGACAGGGACACAGACAACATCAAATCTACTTTTTATTCCTGCCTGTGTACCCTAATGCTGGCGATATCCATTACCCTTTTTTTCTTGCCCTGGTTTCACAGGGGCAAAAATTGAGGAGAAATCTCCCTAATAGTATCTCAGACAGTGATAGAAATCATATAAAAGCTCAGGCTGTAATTACTTTGAGTTCAGGTGTTTTATGCAGCTTTTGACAAAATGAAATCTGCCGATGTTAACCGAGTTCGACCAGGCTCGTAGTATTTATTTTCTTGTCTGGATGTTTATTATACGATGATACAATAGTACTTTAATGCTGCAGCTCTTTCTTTCAAACATTACATAGGCTGCAACTTCTCTCTGATGTGGCAAAGTACCAAGTGCCTTTAGACATTTTACAGATCTTGGTATGTTGACTATACAGCATTCTTTCCATTGCATGAATTGTAATTGCTGATGGTTAATGATCAAGGTTACATTTTACTTTTCAAACATTGTAGCCAGAATTTTCACTGTATTGATTTTAACTGTTTTCAGAGAGTCCTGCTAAAAGTCACATGCCTCGGGTCGGATCAGAAAAGGGCTTCAGCAACATGGATCATATTAAAAGTGCAATGGAAAAAGAGCTGAAGTCTGAGACGGGGGGAAGTCGAAGCATGGCTTTTGCACTTATGCCTCTGTATGCTGTGGGGGTGGCACTTTTTGCAGCTTACAAGTTCGCAAAAGTAAGTATCTATAAATGAAAAATGAGACGGTAATAGAAGCATTTACAATGTCGTGGTGGTGATCTTTCATTCCCTGTCCTGATGACAGCCTCCTGGCTTTGGCAGTGCCAGTTGGCTGTAAGGAGGAGGAGTCAGTATGAGCTCCCCTTTGTAAATCATGTGCGTTAAATCTATTTGAGGGCAAGCAACATCATAACATTAACATCAAACACACTCATAAACTGGGGCTGCAAAAGCATAATCTGGAGATAACCTGGTCCGGCAGCGGCACAGCCTGGGGATAACCTGGTCCGGCAGCGGCACAGCCTGGGGATGAACTGGCCCGGCAGCGGCACAGCCTGGGGATGAACTGGCCCGGCAGCGGCACAGCCTGGGGATGAACTGGCCCGGCAGCGGCACAGCCTGGGGATAACCTGGCCCGGCAGCGGCACAGCCTGGGGATGAACTGGCCCGGCAGCGGCACAGCCTGGGGATGAACTGGCCCGGCAGCGGCACAGCCTGGGGTTGTCATTAGCAGCCACTACAGTTGGTTAAGCTCCCGTATGTTGTAGCTGTTAGTATGTAATAGAAACAGAAGTTACTGTAATATTGAACTATGGGCAAAATCAAAAATGTAATCTATGATGCAGTCTGTCATTAGCAGTAATGGCATTTTTTTGTTTTTCTGGGTTTCACTTGTAACATTGTTATATTACCTCTTCATTCCACCAGTAGATCTATTTTTTTAACTTCTTGTTACTGACCAAGCTGTCTAAGTAGAAGCACTTTTTGTTGGTCAACGTTGTCATGTGACCGTGCTGATCAATGAGCGCTTGGCATTTCTCAGTATTATACTGGATCTGCAGTGGTGTGTTTGCTGTACAGACAGTACACCGATTAGTGGCAGGGAGGGTATTGCATACAGCTGAAAGGTATGAATAGCGGGGGTGGGCAGAGGTGGTGGAATGCTCTGGGTGAGTTCATTTTCTCACATTATGAGAGAAGTTAGAATTATCCTTAAAGTTTGGCACTCTTTCACACAATTGCATTGCAGTAACACACAGTAAATCACACACTTTACTACGGTAATGCACCAAGCAAGTTGCATTCAAAGTACATTCCCAACACAGAGTGCATGGTGCAGTGGAAGAAAACGGAGCAGGAGCCATTTTTTTTTTTTGCGTTGGGGGCCCACTAAAAATGAAAGGCCTGCGGTAACATACTGCAGTGCATGTTCAAGTGCTCATGTAACACACTGCAGTGCATGTTCAAGTGCATTGCAACATGTGCATTCCTGGAATGCAAGTGAACTTTAATTTGTATATGTCTTACCATAAGTCAATTTTAAAACCACATGTCCATCTCAGACTATACTGTTCACATGATGATAGTGCTGCTGTGCGATTTTACTGCAGAACAAACACTGGAAGTGAAAAAATAATGGATCCAGTGGCAGGATCAACAGGTAATAAAACTATGTTACAGGAAGAACATCTGTGTTAAGGTCTCATTCACACTTGTGAATGAAGGCCGATCACGTGTGTCTTGGGAATTCCTCTGTGAGACTCGTTTTGTTCAGCTGAAGTTGGGAGGTGCTTTTACAACTGCCACTGCTCACAGCCATTAGCGTGTAATCACGCCTATTGCAATTACCTATGATGATCGGATCTGAATGCAAACAGTTTGTGTCCAGGTGCAGTCATCCACAGGTAATCGTGGCATGTGCGTTGACATGAAAGGTTATGGTCGGAGGAAGCTGTCATTGTATTGCACAGAGCCTCCCACCCGCAGCTAATCGCATGAGTCTTAAGGTGCCCACACACCTTGCGATAATCGTACGATAATCGCGTGAAATCCCGCGATCATACGATTATTGCAAGGTGTGTGGAAGGCGTGCAACCGTTTTCACTCTACGGTCGCACAACTTTTATCTTATGAACATGTTCGAGAAACCGGCGAGAACCGTACGATTGTCGGCGGGTGTGTGGCATGTTCATAAGATAAGTGCCGCACGGGCCGGTGTGCGCAAGCGCACACTGCCCGTTCAGCATTGCGGTCATCGGAAGATGAGGGGCACGGCTTGCGATTATCGCAAGTACGATCTGCCTTTCTAAGATGGGCAGATCGTACGTTTTTTTAATTTACCTTACAACCATCGCAAGACAAAAGTCTTGCAATGTAAAGCTGGCTGTGGCCAGCTTTACAGGAATTTGTGAGACTTGTGCAATCGACATAATTTGCAAGTGTGAATGGGGCCTAATATTAGCAACTGACTGCACATATGTAGTTTTTTGAGGGGTTTCTTTCCCATCGTTTCACTTGAATTGCATATGTGAAAATTCTGCCAGGCTTCTCAGACCGTACCAAAGAAAGAGAGTAAAATAGAAAGTTCAGTAAAGCATGGAGAGGGAATGACAAGACACCATGGCATGTGAGAGAGCTATAGGTAGATGAGAATAGGAGAAAGATATGGGGAGCATCAGCAAGGTACAGTGTGACCCCAAAAAAATAAAGCCTGTCATGTGGTGAGGCAAAAGAATATTATTTGGTCCATGTTAAAGTGGCACTAAACTAAGGGATTAAATCTTAAAGGAGAACTATGAGGTGAGTGCTTTTCACTCACCTCATAGTTTTAGCTGACCTGTGACAATGAGACTTTCACAGGTCAGCTCAGTAGATCGGGAGGTGAGCGAACACATACCGGCGTTCGCTCACCTCTCGATCCTGTCGCGGCTCTCTGCCATGACAGGGGAGCTCGCGGTATACTGCGGCGTCTCAGTGTACCGTTAAGTGGTAAGTAGGAAATATCGGATGGTGGAAGCAATGGTCTCTGGAACTTTCTGTATCAAAGACCTTACCTTGGGTCATAAAGCCTATGTGTCAGGGTTCCATGCACAGGTGTCCCCACACCATATGCAGGTAACCACACAGGGAGACCAAACACGTATGACCACACAGGACAAGGCAGAATGTATGATATACAGCTTATTTGTAAACAGCACAACCAGAAAAAACACCAAAAGGCAAACATAAATAAGGAACGTGACCCCAACCAAATACAATCCATGACACCTATAACATATAACAGGAGCAGAAATAGCAATAAACAAGTAACAGGGTTCAGAACTGCAAACAGGGTTCAGGACTGATAACAGGACTCCCAGGAAACAGGACTGCAAACAGGGTTCAGGACTGGTAACATTAAACAATACTGAGCCAACGTCCTGACTACCCTCCCAGTAAGCACCAGATGATGGCTAAGTGCTGGGAGACACCCGCAGGTGAGCACTGGAGCTACAGGTTCCAGCGCCACCCAGTGGTGGTCTGGTACCTAACAGTTCCTGGTTGCCTGGATACGCCTGTAGATGAGCACAGGAACTGCAGGGCTTTGCTCCAGCGCCACCTGGAGGCGATCTGGATCCTAACATTATGCTTCCTTCTTCAATTTACACTTAAATACTTCAGATACATATTCTGACAACGATATCATATACAATGTGGGGAATTTATCAAAATCTGGAGCAGCTGCCCAGGGCAACCAATCAGCTCCTCTCTTTAGTTCAGTTAAGATTTGAAAATGAAAGAGAAAAGCTAATTGGTTGCCATGCACAGCTGCTCCAGATTGTGTCTGCTCCAGTATTGATAAATTCCAATCTACGTGTACTTCATATTCTAGTTGCAGTTAATATGTTTAATAAAAAAGCTGCAGCTAATTTTTGAATGAGGGCCCGTTCACACCAGTTGCAGGGCATTCCGGCCCCATTCTGTCTGGAACGCACTGCCTCGCATTGCGGCCGGCTCACTTTTTAGTGGGGCAGGAGGGGGCGTGGCTGCCCATTTAAGTGAATGGCACTATAGCCATGCCTTCAGGCCGCAATACGATCGCCTGCACGGGATCGCAAGGCACATTGTGCCTCCGGTCCGGTGCGCTCAAAATAATGCTTGCAGCATTTTGATTGCACCGAACCGCAGGCACAATGTGCCTTGCGATCCCGTGCGTTCTGGCCATAATCGGGCCGGAACGCACTGCAACTGGTGTGAACGGGCCCTTAGGGTGATTGTGCTTTTATTTGAAATTAACACACTTGCCATGACCAATAATAACTGCTCCCAATATTTGTAAAGTAGTCTCCACAGTTTACTCTTCAAAATGAGAGAGGTCTCCATGTTTAAATTCAAATTGGTCCGCTTATATAGATCCCTGTGTGGCGATCCTTGGAGAGTGTCACTTCTCTAAATTTGTTACAATTCTTTTTGTGATATCTGTTCTTGTATTCTAGATTTGTGAAAAGGCCGCATAGGCTGATCATTTTTGTTACTTTACATATATTTCATTTATACTTCTTACAAGGGTAAATATAATAGATTGTATACCTCCTAGTGGGATTTAGAATGTACTTTTTATCATACAAAGGTCTGTGAGACAGACTCATACCCATATACATTTGATGGCAGTATTTCGATCAGGGCGGCACAGGTGCTTGATGGTACTGTATTTAGATCAGCTAAAAACAGGAAGGATGTTCTCAGACCTTTTTTTTGTTAAAGGAGAACTATGAGGTGAGTTCTTTTCACTCACCTCATAGTTCTAGCCGACCTGTGACAATGAGACTGTCACAGGTCGGCTCAGTAGATCGGGAGGTGAGCGAACACATACCGGGTTCGCTCGCCTCTCGATCCTGTCACA